CTTCCTATTTGAATGACAGTTTTTAATTACTAGATCAAGTTCTGCTTGCATAAAGAGTTTCCATTTCAAAGAAGCATTGCACTGATATGAAAAGTCTCTGCGGAGAAACACCCTTGTCATTGGAAAATGCACACGTTTTGACTACTCTGTGGCTTTCCTATAGAGAGACCACAGCATAACACATACAGTAAGCAACTGCATCAGGCTCTTGCCAGATGCATATACTCAGTTTGCTACTGATCCAATATGTCCCTGGGTAAACCTCAGTTTCTGTATGCTTCTGTTTCCCCCTCTGTAAAAACACAGTTTCTAATAAGTATTTCTCAACCTGGAGAAGGAAGTGGAGACGAGGGGGAGGAGTGGGCGATGAGGATTTTATGAGATTCCACTGGAAGTCTTGGGAGTGGTGCCTCTTGGCTGCTCCTGGCTGGGTTTGGTGAGCTGCAGATGCAATCTAGTAAAAGGTCCTCACCCTATAAGGTGAGGACAGGATGGGGAAGTAGCTGTTGTGGTGGTGGAAAAGCGCTGTGGAATGAGGGGCCAGTGGAGCAAGGCTGAGTTGAGCCTCTGCCCCAGTTTCTCATCACAGAAGACGCAACCTGCAGCGTTTACCCCATCCTCCCCTTCTGCTGGGGAAGAGGGTGGCTGCCTGTGCCAAAGGGCTAAAACAGGTACTGCTAGCACCTGACGGGAGAAGTTACAGCTTGGGTTCTCAAACTAATGAAGAAAAAGGAATGAGAAAATGTCCTATGAGACTCTGGAGCAGCACAGAGGGAAGGGAGAAAAAAAAAGTTTGAAAACCGCTGGATTATAATTTTATGGTAGTATTATTTGATGGTCTGACTTAACAAGTCTTTCCAACTTTGGTTCCAAAGATTGTGCGGATACTTCCCTATCTCACCCAGGTGTTTGAAGTTTAATTAATTAATGTTTGTAAAGAGCGTTACAATTTCCAGATGAAAGGTCCTATGCAAGTGCAATGGAGTATTACTCATTGAGGTGATTGGGTTAGAGAGTATCACGTTACACAATACAGCTCTTCCCTCAATGATTTTAAGCATTTGAAGTTCTGATAAAATGTGTTTATCACTAAGACAGATATAATGGAAATACTCTTAAGGCGTGACCTGGATTATGAAACCAAAGGTATGGTTTTGGGAAGGGAACAAACGAGAATTAAAACAACTCCTGAGGCCAGATTTGTCTACAGTTGTATAAAATGTATTCTGTTCTTCCTTTTTTAACTCTTGCAGTAGGCTTTTCTTCTCTTCTAAAATAGAACCGGTTATTACGATGGGTGTGAGCAGACATGCAACAGTTCACGTTCAGTTCCTATTTCCATACTCATCCAACCTGACATTTTCTCATGACTTTCTCAAAATTATTTTCCTCTCTTTTTTTTTTTAATGCTAAAGGTGAACATTTTCATTCTGGAAAGTCTGCTTTAACCAGTAATTAAACTGAATTAAATCAAATACTCGTGGACAACACCAAACTGGAGATTACAGTCAATACACTTAAAACAGGGCTGATGTTCAAAGCTATTTAGACCTAGACAGGCTAAAGGAGGAGGACAGCATGACCTTCACAAGACCTAACAATGACGGATGCAAAGTCCTGAATCTGGAATGGACTGACTTCCTGCATCAGTACCTGCTGGGGAGTAACTGCCTGGGCGTCAGCTGTGCTGAAAAGGAGGTGAGGTTCTGGTGTCCCGTAAGCTGAACAGGAGTCAAGCAGCGTGCCACGGATATCAGCAGGAGTGCAGATCAAGGGAACTGCTTTACTCGGCGCTCATCAGATCAGATCTGGAATACGGTAACCAGTTTCCATCCCTCAGTACAAGAAAGATGAGGGTAAATGAAAATGAAGTTCAAAATCAGGTCACCAGGGTGGCCAGTGGACTGGAGCACTTGACCTGTGAGGAAAGGCTGATGGAGCAGGGCTCGTTCACCCTGGAAAACAGATGGCTTAACAGCAACCTTCCCATACCTACAGAGAAGTTAGCAAGAAGACAGAAGCAAGCTCTTTAGTGACATATACAGTGAGGAAAAGAAACAGTTGCCATAAACTGAAAGGAGGCCTCAACTGGATATAAGTAAAAAAAGATTTCGTGGCAGATAACTAAGCATTGGGGCAGGTTGCCCAAAGAGACTGTGGAATCTCCTTCTTTCAAGGTTTTCAAGACTCAATTGGAAAAAGCCCCAAGCAACCTGATCTGACATTAGTGCTGGCCCTGTGTTGAGCAGGAGGTTAGACTAGAGACCTCCTGAGGTTCCTTTCCACCTGATTCAATGGGAAAAGAGGAAACCCCAGTTTATGTACAGGTTATGTATACTTGTTCAGGAATGGGCTTGGACTTTTGCTATTGAGTTAAGAGAGTTGAAAAAGTTTGCTAAAAATTGGTTTGAAAAATAAATTTACTTATTATTTGACAAAAGACAATTGTTAATATTCCAAATGCTATGTTCCACCTTTGTTGTTCTTCCCCCATTTTCTAACAAACTTACCATGACAGCAAACAACAGAGATTTGGCATGGCTTATAAAGGAAGGCATTAAGGCACCTAGAGGTCTCAGTTACAAGAGAAACAAAACTAGGTTTTTAATAATTATGGGTAATGGAAGAACACTGCACTTCAACTGGTGCCTTTTTACTCTTAAAAGAGAATCTGCATCAAGTTAAATCTGTCAATTATGAAAACACATTATTGACTAACCAAATTTTAAAATATGCTGAAATCTTTCTTTAGCTAAGCACTGTCTGGTTTTGTGATATTTAAGTAAACACTTTATTTTCCATTAATACTGTTTTTATTGTTAATGGCACTCATTAACAGTTAGTCTTCTAGAGGCATATTCTTTTTCCTTGCATTTTTGACATACAGTTTTCTTATTCCTAGAGAATTCTGCTATATTCCCACTAGGAGCTACACACCTGAGTAAACCAAGTAATTAAAAGTGTAACAAAAGCACACCTGCCATACCTCCGATCATTCTAAATATGCAATCATACTTTTGATTTGTCTGGAAACAGAATCAATAACTGAACAAGGATGTCAAGAAAACAGGTTTCTTAAGGGGTCACATGTCAGTTGCCTCCTTTTCTTCCTGTCCTATGTTTCTCACCTTCCTCTGTCTCCCCAGAAAATTACAGAAGTCTGTAAGAAGACCAAAATGGAGCAATGTAAAATGATGAAAAATATTTAAGGGCTACTAATGACTGAGGACTTAAAGGTACATCTTCTTGCAAATCTGTTCCTTAATACTTAATAAAAAATAAAGAGGTCATTCATAAAAAGACTGTATTAGACAATGTATGAACATAAATGGACTTTCAGGAAACTAGAAATCTGAAGAGTGGCTAAACTGAAACAACAAAAGGTTAGGAATAATGTCCAGACTCTAAAAATGCCGAAGAGTAGCTACATAGTTTGTAATAATACTGAGCAGGCTGGGGAGAAAGGCGATTTCTGTGCTTCGTTGCAATTATTTTGGGAAAAAAAAAAGTAAATAAAACATCTATTTTTCATTACAACTGCACAATATTAAAGGTAAAAATAAGAAGACATCTTCATGGACAGAGCATTCTGTTCATAACATGTTAATGGTAGTTAGTGAACCAAAACCCACAGAAATCCCTTTGGACAGCTAACAAACACACACAACTATTAATTAGGTCACAGTTGTTTCCTCACAAATCTTTTGTTCACTTCAGTTGTAGAAAACACCAACATATCCATCAGATCTGTGGGGAGGAATTCAGCAGTGAAGAAAATATTTATTTATCATATGTTAAATGCTTGCAATTATATGACTACTTATGGCAGTTCTGCTAGTTTCTCTCTTTGTAAACTATAATCACTCAGTACACAATCTATTCTACTCCTCAGAACACCACTCACCTCAGTAGATCCAACTGTTTCATTTTGTGTACTTCAGGCAACCATTGTAACTCAATCACAGATTTTAAAATGTTTTGAGCATCCAGTTAAAAAAATGATGAAAAGAATTAACTTGCTTTGTTTTCACAAAACAAAAGTCGAATAAAGTATTTTTTGAAGGTTAACACTGAGAGGTGAAGGGTAAATTCTGCTTAAAGCCCAGTTAAATTTGAGTTTCACTCATGAACACGATTTGCCCAGTATGCCAGTTACTTCATGAACTGTGAAGAAAATGTTTGCAAAGGGCTCCTGTTCCTACTGCAGAAAACTGAAAAACTGCAGGCTGTACACCATTTCAAGGACACAAACCAGACTGGTCTCCGAGAGCCTAGGGAAGACCACTGCCTTTATGAAAATAATCAGCAAGGTTTTCCTAATTTCTGTGCGTGCAATGTGCTGCAGGACAGACAACATGGCAGAAAGGGTATTTTTCAGTAGCAAAGTATCACTGCTCTGTTGGGAACAAAGATGGCAGAGGCTGCTGGATTGGTAGGGCTTCATCTTTTCTGCCTGAACCTTGCTTTAGAAAGCTGGCCATGTTCATTACCTCACCAGTCTAGTTCCACTTCTCCCACCACCACCCTTGCCCCAGGGCAGCTGCTGCCTCCTTACCTCCACGTCTCCTGCCCCAGAACCTCTACCACTTCCTCCTCACACATCCCACACCACTATTGTTACTGCCTCCCTCAGCCCACCGAGACTGAATTAATAACCCTGACCAAATCCAGCTGACTCTCTCCAGAGCCTCTTGGGTGTGTCTTCACCAGCTCCTCGTGCTGGCTTAGGTTATTTGCTCAGGTCTGCTGCTGCACCTCACCTGCAATGGGTTCATGCCTCACAGGTTGGAAACCGCAGGGCCAGACAATGTAAGAAGCCTTTTCAGGTCATTACTTATACAATTTTATGAGCTGCCAATCACAGTAACTAGGAGAAGTCAAGAATACAACTTGAACATCTGCCCACTTTTGGATCAAAATTAGGAAAAGAGTCAATAACATTACTATTCTTCAATGAAAAGGAATAAAAAAGAAGAATTTCAAGCAGTTAACTCTCTTACCATAATTCTGTCACTGTCGATAATGGTGTTCAAGCGGTGTGCAATGGTCAGCACTGTGCAGTGAGCAAACTTCTCACGGATCGTCTTTTGAATGAACTCATCTGTTCTGAAACACAGCAAGAGCAACGAAGACAAAAATTAGATGTTTGCATGGAATTAACTGAATGGCAGGCAGGTTTTATGACTCCAGACATGACTGTATAGCAGGAAATATGCTTATGAAGTCACTACAGTGCTTCTTCCTCTTGTTATATTAGATGACTTGGAAGCATATCACGAAACATATTCCAAGATCTATCCTCTAATACTTGAGAAGGAAAGAGTTACTTCCTGCAAGTAGAGCAGTAGGTTCCATTTCAGGAGACTAATTTCCCAGGCTTTGATTACAGAAATAGGAAAAGTCTGTGGAGTCAGATAATCCTACAGATTTCTACACCAAAAAAGGTCATTGTTATTTTCTTTCAAGACTTAGTTTGTGCAAGCAGCAAATAAAAGTTGGTGAAAGTCAACATCCTTCATTGCAAATCGACTGAAGAAAAACCACAAACCAGCCTATGACTAAGGTTCTGAATTTCAACTGCAAAGGGGGATCAAATGAAGGAGATGGTTGGTAAGCTAAAGAGGGATGGAAGTAGCTCAAGAACTTGAATACAAAAAAAAGAAAACTTGGCACATTCTGTAAATCAAAAGTGTTAACTGGAGTGCAGAACCCAAGGAAAGGGATAAATGTTAAGAGCCTCAACCTACTATATGAATTAACCACCTAAGAAAAGGGTAACAGGCACAAACATGACTTGTAATGAAAGATAACTAAGCTAGAGCATAGACACAGAAGTACAGGGTTAAAGTGATAACTGTCACAAATAATGCTGAGAACCGTGAAAAGGAAATAAAATTGTACCAAAACATAAGTAAGACACTAAAATGTTCTTTAGCTGTATAAACAAGCATTAAGGCAAAAGAGGTGCAATACTCATAAAACTGGAGATTATTCAAGTAACTATACAGAAGCATTGTCGCTACCTAACGTAGAGCACAGCAGTCAGGCTTAAAGGTGGAAATCTGTATAGTCCTCTCAGCCTGTGAAGGGGGAAAAGCATGTCTGGAAGGTGACTCAGAGCACCTGAAATGGGCAGCCATCAGGTGGGGAATGCCCTCTAGAGGCACCTGACAGCCCACATTGCGAAGGGAGCCTTTGCTCTCAACGCGGCCACAAAGCCAGGCCACGTGAATGCTCACATATTGTCCATTACCCCTCGAAGAAACAATGGGTTTTGAGAGAGATACAGAAACCAAAATTCTCATCCAAGACAGAAGGAAGACGCAAAGAATTAAAAGAAAAAAAACCAACCCCAGGGTTAGTCGGAGCAAGGAAGCTCCAGCCCAGAAGTCAGGCACTTGAAGGCATGGGTATAATTTCCAGGATTTCTATTAAAACATGGAATTGTACTTTTATATATAATGACTTACACATTTATATATAATAAATGCTGTGAATAGGGTTAAAACAAGAAAAAGGAGATACCTGGATAAACTGGTATATTTAGGCAGCCATGCTGGCTTCAACCAGTTGCTTGCAAAGCCTTAATTCTTCAAATTGCTAAAAGTAACTGGAAAAATCAAATAAAATACAACAAAGATACATGCAACACGTCTTCCTCTAGCAAATTATCATCTTTTAGATAGAAGTAGTACTCCACACTGAAATCTGTCTGCACATGATAAATACTTGGTATCACTTCATAATCAAGCAAAAAAACGGTTCTGATGCCATTGTGTCAGGAGGCACTACAAGTGGACAACAGCAGCTTTGGAAGCACAGGATGACTTAGAGGAATGGAATAACCATTAAGCTTCCACAGTAGAAAGCACAAGTTCATGCGTTGAAGTACCGAACATAACTTCTGTTACAGACTAAGTTCAAGCAATCTGCATGACAGAGGAACAGACAGAGAGAGCCCTGCTGATGACAGGAGGAATCGTCAGAGAGAAGGAAAACAGAAAAAGTTAAGTAAGAGCTCCCATGCATGCCGACTGTCATTTTCATCTGGGGTCAAAAACTTTTAAGCTTAAGAGAGCTGGGTTCTGGGCCGCAGACTGAGAAGTTGGGCTGGAGCACCTCTGCTATGATGAAAGGCTGAGAGTTGTGCTTGTTCAGCCTGGAGAAGAGAAGGCTCCGGGGAGACCTTATAGCACCTTCCAGTACCTGAAGGGGCTACAAGGAAGCTGGGGGGGACTTTTCACAAGGGCCTGTAGTGACAGGACAAGGGGTAATGGCTTTAAATTGAAAGTGGGGAGGTTTAGATTGGATATCAGGAAGAAGTTCTTCCTGGAGAGGGTGGTGAGGCACTGGAACAGGTTGCCCAGAGAAGCTGTGGATGCCCCATCCCTGGAAGTGTTCAAGGCCAGGCTGGACGAGGCTTTGAGCAACCTGGTCTAGTGGAAGGTGTCCCTGCCCATGGCAGGGGGGCTGGAACAAGGTGATCTTTAAGGTCCCTTCCAACCCAAAACATTCTACGATTCTAAGTCTTGGTCCTTCTACTACAACATCCTCAAAGAAGCTAAAGAACATGGTAGGAAGCTAGTGTTTCTCAACTCCTCCTTCTGATTGCCAGCATGCAATCAGGGAACGAGATGGGAGAAGTTAGGACAGAGCCAGGCTCTTTAGCTCTGTATGTTAACTGTCTCCCTATGAAAAGGAAGTTTTGTCATTAATGCCCACATGACACCAATACCAGTGCCTTCACCCCAGTGTTAATGCATGTATCTTTTATTTTTGCTATCTTCCCAGCAATGCCTCCATGACTTGACCACTCTTACTTTCAAAAGAAAAAAAAAAAAATCAGGGCTATACATGAAAACACTCAGTAGGAAAGAGGCTTATATAGACAGCAGGATGTGTTCTCTGCAATGATTAGAATAGCAAAACAGAAACAAAAGGTTCAATACTCAATTACTTAAAGAAAGCCTTTTCCTTGCCTTACAGTCAAGCTCAAGGTGAGATTTCCTGCAGAGCTACTACGGAGCACAGAGAATAATAGCTTGCTCAGGAATTGTGAAAACAACTTTTTAAAAGTCTCAGAATTATTCATAACTCTCAGGTTATTCCTACTGTTATCTGAGGAGAATGCCTCAACCTTGAAAATCCCTGTCCTCTGCATTCATTTACTGTATCTTCCTTTATTACATGTATTCCTTATTGCACCACCTTTTCCTACATTTACAATAGAAACCATTCCTCATTCTTAGATAGATACTATCAAACCATTATCTTAAACAGGTATTTCTTGAATATAAGCTTAACCCTAATACAAAACTGCTGGCCATATTGTGGGTGTGACAAATGTTCTAAACCAAGACTACAAAGTAATCAGAAACAGACCTAATAGCTCCATCTTCAAATATCACAGTATGAAATCTCATGCAGATGTGGACGCTGTCAGGGACTCGACCAGATCCTCCCTAAGGTTCATGGTAGATGTTGGAGTATAGTTTTGGGGTGGTAGGCAGAAGCACCATGAGTAACCTCCAGGAGAATCTCAGGAAGAAGGTAGGAAAGGCAAGAAAATCTAAAACACTTAAAAAAGGACCTGTGGAATTATGTGCTGACAGAGCATACGGACTATATCACATGTCAGTTAGAGCCATTCTCCCTCTAGAGATCCGCCAAAGGAAGTAGCATACCTGGTTTTTTTCAGGGCATAAATGGATCCTTTGTGGTGCCTACCCACACTGAGAAGTGGCCAAGCAAGTGCCAAGGGATTCCATCACCCACCTCAGTGGATCAAAACCCCATCATCTTTCAGGCACATCAGAAACCAAAGATGCAACCTGAATACCAAAACCAGGGCTGCTGGATGACAAAAGCTCAACCTCAATCTGATTATATGAAAATGGGAACCATGATACTCCCCATCCCAAGGAACACTACAATCAAGAAAGCACAAAATGGTGATATAGCTGTCCCACTGGCACCACGGGTTGAGGATCTAACACCAAGTTTCACAGCAACCCAAGATCTGGTGTAACCTGAATTAGTTGTCTGTGTAAAAAGAAAACTATCTGAAGCGCAAGAATAAATATGACTTGAATGAGAAGCAACCAAGCTGCTGAAAGGAACAAAGGATAAAGTCATTATCTTCAGTCTAATGTTCTCCTGGGATTGTACTGGAAGTGTATCTCACACTATACAATTCCTGAGTGGCTTTAGATAATTTCTCCAAAAGAGAAACAGTTACAGATAGCAGTTAGACATAACGAAAGGTTAAACCTTACAAAGTTAAGCTGGCTGATGAACTGAGCTATCTGCAATGGGTGTTTATACCAGACTCGATGAACAACCAATGTGAAAATCTGGCAGTGGACTGGTCCCAAAAAGTTTTGTCCTCTATATGCAGTAGAAATACAAGTTAACACATAATACTGTAGTCAGTGTGCAGAAAGCTTAGTGAATTCAAATTAATATTTTAAAAAAGCCTCAGTTACTAAAGATTTTGTTCAGTAAATCACCAAAGTGACTACAGAAAAGGTTTTCAGCCTTTCTGCTCCAGATTTCATACAACTTTCCTGACCGTTTAAAATGACTCCATTCTTCGGGGTGAGAATGGCGGTTTGAGAACCAAGAAGATAAAATCAAATTAAATGTCTGTCAGTCATCACATAAAACATACAAGTAGTGTGACTTAGGGCAATCTTCTTTACAGCAAGCTCTTCCTTTCCCTCACGACAGGGCTGACACCCCTGCAGAACACAGAGCCGCTGGCAGCTACAAGGAGCAAGGAGGAAAATAAGGGTATATATGGGAGCTGGAAGATGTAAGGAGGATGGAGAAGGATGAACTCCAAACTTCTTCCCTTTACTCCTTCAACTCAGCTTCAGTCACCAGCAGACAAGAATGGGCAAGCTGAGCTGGGGAGAGGTGGCGGGGAGTCCCTCAGCCCTGGGGAAGGTACAGTGCACACCGCTCGCCCCGCTGACGCATCCACTGCCTCCTGCCACCTCACCCTTCCTTCTCCTCCCATCTCCAACACCCTGCCTTCTCACATTTGCTTCCAGGTTGAACTGGAAAAGGGACACGACTGCCGCAGCAGTTGAGGCAAAGAGATCAAGAGCCAGAAAAACAACAACAACAACAAAATACTATCTCCAGAGCCAGCAGCAGCTCCCTATCCCAGGGTTTCCCATCCAGGTGCTTGATACTATGAGTGCTTGACGCCAGGCTAGAGACACAGGTGCCATGTATGGGGGTTGTGCATCAGAAGAGGAGGAGGTTTTCCTCACATACCAAAAATACCTCTCTAACCGCTCAGTCAAGCAACCCACATCAGCATTTCCTGATGAGCATCCTATCAGACTGCACAGCTGAAAAATACTCAGCTCTAGTTATAGCAACACATTAAGGAAAAGGTAATAATGACTGTAATGCAAACTGAATTCAAAGAAGTAGTTCCAAGTTATTATTTGTATTGTTATGCCTAGAGTTGATATAAACAAACATTTACCTTATTATAATATATATTGCAGCAGACATTAATCAAGATCAATTAAATGGATAGTGCAAGTTGAGAAGACACACATGTGAGATGCCAAAATGGGGAGGATGAGTAAGATGGTGTTAAATTCCCACAGCTATGATTAATCACAAATAATCTATCAGAGCTCAGCCAAAAATAAACTAATAGTCAAAAAAGAAGGAAAAAAAAAAGGTGTGGGTGGGGGGAAACAACAAAAGCACACCACCTCTGGGAAGAGACTGCACTTCTGTAAAGGTTTTAGCAATACAGTGTCAGCTGAACTGCAAAGCTACCCTAGTGGCACCACTTCTCCCCCAAGAAGATGTTATAAAAATGAGTCACGCCCAGATGACATACAAAATCCTTAACGCATCTGTTTGAGGGACTTGCTGTGTTATTGTCCTCTTTGGACTTCGAGTTCTCCCTCAAGCCATAGTTTGTTGGAACTATATATTCAGCTCAGGCTAATTGATGCAGTACGTTTGCAGTATTGTTTCCAAAATATCTCCACCAGTGTTTCAAATGTTTCAAAAAAATGAACAGTGGGGGTACTTCGCTATTGGAACAATTTAACAAGGATTGTCATTGAATTTAATTTTTTTTTTTTTTTCCTATTGAGGTTGGATGTTCTTCTAGAAGTACACTCTAGTTCAAACAGGGATGAATTCAGGAAAGTTCTGCTGGCCTGAGTTATACAAGACAAAATAATGAATGATAAATTAGTCCCTCCTGTAGCCTTAAACATCTCCAAATCTGTTTTGCAATTCCCGTGGTGTTTAGGACGGTTTACCTCCTCCTCTTCCTCCCCACTGCTGTCTCCCCCATTTTAAAAGTAACTTTTTACACCAGCATCTGAGCAGACGTGTCTGGTTTTGCTCATAGCTATTTTTCACCTTTCTAGTTTCAGTGATTGGGTTTGTTTTTTTTGTTTTGTTTTGGGGAAGAAGAGATATTAATTAATTTTTATTTATTTCCAAGAGACATTTCTTCCAGAAATCAACATAACTCAAAGTGTTCCATAACCATCCTGATGTTACTGACGTGCATTTCTAAGGAGGTTCTTGTCTATGGCTGCAGGACAAATAAACTTCAAATAATAATTTCCCTACTCTGTGGAATGCACTGAAATTTGGGATATTTCGAGCGCTTAGTTTATATCATCTGCGCTGTAGCCAGAGCTCAACCACCCCATTTTGAATAGGCAATTATGATGCTATCATTAAAAACATAAAATAGCAATACAAACTACAAGAAATACAAAACATTTAAGTTCATCTCTACAGCACAGATGATCCTACTAGAAACAAAACCAGCTCATCTTAACATGACAGATTTGGTTTTTACCTTGGGTCCACATTTGCTGTTGCTTCATCGATGATAAGGATACGATTTTTTTTTAGACCCGCTCTGCCAAGACACACCAGCTGCCTCTGACCAACGCTAAAATTAGACCCAGATTCTGCCAGCTGCGTCTCCATTTTATTAGGCAGATCTTCCACAACCTCCTTCAGTTGCACCTGTTGACATGTCAACATACTGTAGGATGAGTAACTCTCTCTTAAACCAGCTATTGTGTGTGTGATGACACAACAATAAGTACGCCAGGTTTACCTTTTCTATTCTGATACAAAACGAGCAAGTGCCAAGTTGCTTTACACAGTGTGGCAGTTATTAGAATTCTAAAAACATTAAAGCACGTTGTTAAGAATCTATTAATGTTCATTAAAACTAAGATATGAATCAAAACGTAACCAAAGCATCATCCCAAAGGATAATTTTTTTTCATAAAGGACTTGTGTAACAACATGCGCGTCTACACACAAGCACAAAGACACACGTATACAAACGCGCACACAACGGCGTACCTTTTTCCATCAACAGCTGTGCCCTTATCAAACCTGATGAAAACATCTAAAACCTAACGCACATGAGGACTGTAGTGTTATTTGGCTTGTAAGTATCAGATGTACATTATTAGATTTAGTAAGTCACCTCTTCCAAGGCGTTCCACAGCTCTTCATCGGTGTATTCATTGAAAGGATCTAAGTTTTTCCTCATTGTTCCAGTGAATAAAACAGGCTCCTAAAACCCAGTAGAATTAGCATTCCATTATAAACACAGGTTTTATATCGCAAAGGGTAATTTAATAATAATCAGAACCAACCTATATCAACAATAGCACAGAAATATCCAACAACAAGCTGTCTCTTATGAAATGCAAAGGAGTATGTCACAGCAGCATGCTTAAAGGGGGGGGGGGGGGTGAAGGCAACTGTTCAACCAGTCTGTATGAAGATAATTTACCAAACAGGACAGGTCTGTTTGCAAATTGCTGTACGCAGTTATGCTGGTACTCAAACGGGCATTTACATGCCACTGTTTTGATGCCACAAGCTATATATATACTTACATGAAATCACTGCTATCCTCCTGGTATTGTTAATGAAAACCAACAACTACCACCGTCAATGAGCTCACACTCCTAAATTACGTCTGGGCAGTTTTGAAAGTTTGGTTTTGAAGTACATAAACCAGAGAGGAATCAAAGAGCTCACAATGCCTTTCTGGTTTTCCTTCTCTATTTCGTTGTGGGTTGGGTCTTTTTTTTCTTTTTTTTAATTTATTTTCATTTCATACCATAAAAGCCCTTCAATTTTACCACCAGAGCCTAAGAGGAACAGCTTTCACCATTTCAACACAATGTTTACACCTATACACACAGAAGTTAATCTGTACTGCCACAGCATCAAAGCAAACTTACTTAGAACTGAAGCACTGCTGGGCAAAGCTCTAACTCAAAATACACCAGGGAGTCGTATCAGTACCTTCTCCCATTCAGGTACCAATGTGGGTTTACCTGTGGTCGAAGCAAGCTTTGTTCTACTTCAGTTCCCGGTCAGACCAATAACAGATCATTAAGCAAACTGGCACAAATCAATTCACAACTGGGAAATGTAACGTTTGAGAAGCGGGAAGACTACTTTTGGTCCAGAAGTCCCTAAGCAACAGATCAGTACTCACTGATGTGAGCTGCCAGACCCGAGAGTCATGCAGTGACACGACTTCAGGGCTAAACTCCCCTTAATACCACACACAGGGACAAGTCATCAAAAGCTGTAACAGTGCTAATCATAAATGGATACCATTCATCATGTTGTCAGTCTTCTTTAAATTGGAAAAATCATATGCAAAATGTTTTCTTTTTTTCCTCCCTTAGGAAACAAAGTCTAACTTGCATTAGATAACTTTCCCTTACTCCGAGATTAACCTCTGTCGTGACTTACACCCCCAACTAACCCTAGTGATGCCCAGCTCCAAAGGGCTCCAGCTAATCAGAACAGAATTTAGACCTTAACCCTTTTATTGTGTCTTCATTGCTAAACCACTGAGTAGTATAAAAGGATTCACAAAGACAGAACATGCCACAAGCAATGTAAAAGAATGTATGCATTTCATGACATAACATGCCAATTATTTGAAAGTATCTACTGCAATAGCAACATGTCACTAAAAACCTGTTGAATGAACAAAAGGATTTAAAAAAAAAAACCATTAACAGGTTAAAGAACATTTTTCTTCAAAAACACCTAGAAGGTAATTTGTTTAACAATACCTATTTTAATACACCGTTCAGTGTGTTTTAAAGGTATTGTTAAGTTTATTTTCCTTTTCAATACATTTTTATAGGTTGGCAAAATAAGAGGCTGAATTTATAAAGTGTTCATAACTATTATAAAAGTCCTAACAATAGACATGTACTGCAACAGAAGATAAGGATATTTTTTAATTATCATTTCTGACACAGTTTATTATTTAAAACAGTCTGGTTTATGAGAGGGAAGTAATAAGACAAACCTGTAAATAATTGTTGTAAAAATGCTTGCAGTCAGGGAGGCAGACAACATTTGCATAGAAAGGATTTACAAACACAACCTTCACACAGCTCTATCCAAGTAAGCAATTAGAAGCCTAAGCACATTTTTATTTCTCTAGGTAGGTATTTAAACTGACATATAAGAAAACTTCAGTCTTGCCTCATCACTTTCTAGGAATGGTTCTGTTTAGCATGTTTTATGTTATAATTTTAATAAGCATCTCTCCCTCTGGTTTCCTAGTTTCCCACATAATTATGAAGATATTTGCTACAAAGTAACTGCCTGATGTTACATTACTATTTCTATTATTGACACTAATAGTAGCGTAGTACAAGACAATGCCTATCGCTCAGTTTACTATAGTATAAACCTTATTCCAAAGCTTCCTCTTCTCACTATCACCACTTCATAGTTCTGCATATTTTTAGTGAACAAGTTGTCCTTATGTGGAAAAGAAATGCTACCTGCTAGCCACTGGACACTTAAAACCCTTTGGGACCATGATAAAAACCCTATCATGTAAACTTGATAGAAGCCACAGAATTCAACTGGTTAATCCAGTTTTACAACTAACTCAATAGACTAATGTATGGGAAAAAAACCAACCCATGTATAATTAAATGCAGTGAATTTCGAGCATCTGCATCACTCAACATGTAGAAACTCTATTTGACCAGCAGTCTTCCCTTTTTATTCAACTGGGTTGAATTCTTCCAAACCTAGAAATCACCCACAATAGCTACTGGCAAGGCTTTCAAAAAGCTGTAGACCTTGAATGAACTGATGATCATCTGCTTTCAGGAGAAAAGAATGCTGCACACAAACAAAAAAATAGAACTTCAATCCAGGTAAAGTCCTCTTTACATACAAAAGATGACTAGTTCCAGTGAGTACCTCCACTGTGCAATAACAAAGCTTTCAGCATGCAGAAACAAAAGGCATCCTGCATTAGGCAACAATCCAATTGCTGAGGGGGAGGGTACCTCTTTATTTTTTATAATGGCATACTTGCTTCTTTTCTCTGACTCCTGTTCACAGGAAAGGGGAGGGGGAGGGGGAAGGCAGGTAACGAAGAGAGGCTTAGAACCACTGTTCATTGCCATTTTCATCAGATTCTCGATTTAAAGAAAGTAATATGCTCTGAAAGACATCCTGCCAACAGGCTAACAAACATTCAGATACAAATATGGTGTAAGGACTAAATACAGCTTCTGTAATAAAACAGAGATCTGAGAATTAACGCTAAACATGGCAAACAAATTCTTCTGGTTTCCAGCCTACTGTTCTAGATACCTTCTAGAACATCACAAGCAAATTATTTGCCAAAAACACGACTTTGCATTTGCAGCATAGGAGCTTTTCCTTCTTGCTCTCCAGTGGAAAGCAAATGACCATGGAAGAGATCAGAGCTCTCATTAAACATGGTAACTTGCACAGACTCTGCCTGCAGGAAGTTCTGAGGTTACACATAACCCTTCTCAGATTCAATGTCTCAGTTGACAGTAAGACCATGGCACAGAAGATCTGTGACCTATTGGACTTTTTGGAACATCCTTTCTTCTGCTCCAGCACCAGAGATAAGGCTGTCTCCCACCCGTGTCTCCCACCCCATCCCACTCCACCCTGTATTGCAGCATTTCCTGCATTCAGATTTGAAAGCTCACCAAGTTTATGTTTATGGGTCATAGTGACCCACTCTCAGTTGGTCTACTAGAAGTACCTCACTAACGAGAAGTAGCTCCATTCTAGTTGGCATATTGGCTTTTTCTAGATCTAGCCTCAGTCAGTTTGTACAGGGGTGACTAGAACATCAGAAGGGAATTGCTGCCAAAGGATCAACTGCCTTCAGAGGACTGCTGAAGATCGGTATATTCCTGTCAGATTTTCTCTGCTTTCCCAGACAGGAGGACAGCATATAGCTAACACCTACTCACAAGTATTCCAGAGGAACAGACAGGGAACAACACTAGGAAGAGAATGCTCCAGTCCCCAAAGCAGATTCTGTTTATCTTAAAATAATCAAGGCCTTGCTTGGGTAAGAATAACTTGATGAAGTTCCTACATCCACTGCATAAAGGAGTGCAGGGGGAACATATCCCGGCAAAGCATTTTAAGTACTATGGCATTAAACTGAAAATGTTCACAGCGGACCAAGTGACTCTCTTACCTGAGGTATAATTGAAATTTTCTTCCGCAAGTCATGGAGTCCTAGCTCTGACGTCAAGAACTTATCAATCCAAATCCTTCCCTCGGGTTCCGCCAAGCGAAAGAGGGCTGCTATCAGAGAGCTTTTCCCAGCTCCGGTTCTTCCCACTATTCCAACCTACAGAGCAAGCCAAGCTTGAACAATTAAACCAGGAGCTTTTCAGGATAAATTAATGTGTCAAGCAACAGTTTTACAACATCACAGGATTTATAGTAGAACAAGCACCAAATAAAACTACTTTATAATTAACATTTTTACAAGAGAAAACAAATCTCCACCAAAATCAGTTTGGATTCAGGTGACATTTGGCTACCCAACAACCTCCTGGATCACATTCAAAGGTGAAAGATTTTCCCTTAATGTGTGGTGTTTTATTGTGTAAACAAGATAAAGTGGCTCAGTGTATAAAGTAATGTGATTCAATGCTGTTAATTTTTATACTAAACCTGGTCTGCTGGGTGATGTTAGGCAAATCATTTCAGGCATGCATCTACTTCTTAACCCAAAAGAGGACTCCCATAAAGCAGTTTGGGAACAAATTATGGCCAGTATTCCCAGTTGAAATAACAGAGTGGTTTTGGTTAGCATGGTTAAGGTGAAGTACTTTAAAGCAGTCGAACTCTAAAGCCAAAACTAGCAAGCTTATAAACTGTATTCATTCTTCAGGCAGCTTCAACAGAGGGGATCCAAGTATTGAAACTACAGGCCCATGTGAGCAAGCTGCAATTCCTTTCCAAACAGAACACACACTGAAAAATAAAATCACAGTGATTCAGGCTTCCGTGTGTTCCTCAAGAAAATCCAGAAGCTGTATGCAATGTGGAAAAAAAAATAATGTTTTCAGGAAAAAAGAGGTAGAGACGATGTAAAATATGGAATTGCTAACCTTAATGACAATGGGTTAAGACTACAAACAGTTCATATAAAACCAACCTTGGGAGGAAGTAGGTCCATTAATAAATGAGCAGAGACATAATTAGTGATGATTAAATACTACTTGAACAGCAAACTTTTTTCTTTTTATAAAATATTGTCTTCAGGTAAAGGATTCTTAGAGAAAACAATGTACAGTAATCAATTGTATCAGAGAAGGTGAAGGGTGTAACCCCTCTACACTGATCTGATGTGGCAGGATTCTTTATTTCCTGCACTCAGTTCTAATCGCTATGTTTCCAGAAAGTAATCAACGCACTGGAAAGAGTTCAGAGAAGTGCAACATAAAATTAATATGGGTGGGAGATACTGATTTGATGAGGAAGGATTTGTGAGGATTAAACATATACCGTATAGCCTGGCAAAGTGATTGGGGTGCAGAGGGGAGGAAGAAACACGAAAACCTTCACGAGTATACGTACAGACACCAGAGGGCAATTACCCACTGCCTGAGACTCAGATGTATGCAGTAATGACTGCTGGAATGAAATTAAGCATAGGAAACGTTACACTGAAGAGCAAGGAGAAACCTTCTAACAGACACTAAGCTCAGACAAAGCAGCAGTGCGCCCACGTTTGATCAAAAATACACAGAACATAAAAAAAAAGTATATTGCAAGGAGCAACTTACACTGCATCATCTAGAAGGTACTTTCTACTTCTATTTCTCAATTCAACAATTTCATCCAACAATTCATTATTGTACAACTGCATATAAACTAATTAACATTTATCTTATTAAAGATACAGCCTAATTTAAGCAGATCTGTTACAATAAATAAAATGTCTAGTATTCTAAATTATATCAGTGAAACAAAGGAAAACCAATTACACTACAGCTCAGAAAGAAAATGCTGAATGAAGAACACAGACACCCAGAGTCATGAAAACAAAAGTTCAATTGTTTCTCTGTAAATGTCAGTGATATAAAGTATTGTATTAAGGATATAAAGAAAAAACATTAAAAAAATGCATTGATACTTAAAATAAAAATGCAGCTGCTCTGCATATTGTCAAAATCCCACTTTCAGTTTGGCATCAAATGAAAGGACTATGCTCTTCAGTATTTAGAGGAATCTGTATTTTTGGTCAAATTGACTACAGGCTGCTGAAAATTGACATGAATCTGAAACAGCTCTCAGTCTACACTTTTTTTTTTTTTTAAATACATTGTATTCTTCAGAGGCTTATGCTCACAGCCAGTGCAAATACAGCGATGGTCTGCAAATGGAAGTCTCAGCCACCTACAAGGGATCACATGGCCAGGATTTTGCTGCCTGACGTAAGCCATGTGCATACAGAGGAGTACACCTGCTACGCTGGGCTCATCATTACTCAAGCGTCACTCCTACTTCAAAGTAGAGCTGCACAAAAAAATGGAAAGTGAGATTTACAGCATGTCAGCTACTCTGCTGAAACTGCCCGTGTCTTTGTTACCCCTCAGGCAACCTCCCTTTCGTGCTACACCATGAGAGCATTGACGTGAACAGCTGCCATGTCGTGAATCTAGACACTCACCCTCCTAACATTTTCCATGTAGCCATACCCCCAGACTTAGGATCTGCTGGGACAAGGTGTATTTAACAATATATTAGTCAATAAGCATTCATAAGCACCCTAAGCCAAAGACAGTGGTGTTTAAAACCCAGGGCTGCACGTGCTAACCTTCTCCTGCTACAGCTGTAGTAGCTGAAGAGGTTGATCACAGCCTGCTGCTGGCAGAGCACCTTGCGTGAGCACCCTCTGGCCTGTCTCCGGCAGATTACTCCACTACGCTACGTTAGCAAAGATGGTTAAAACGGAGGCTTCCCAGCCTGCTTTGACTGCAGGGAGATACCGAATGGTGAGACAAGCAGATCAAAAGAGACACAGGAGTGATCCGCTGGTAATCACCTCCTCCGTTCTCACTGTACCTACAGCTTCCCAAACTGGGCGCTGGGGTGGCCACGAGAAAAGCTGCAAGAGCGGCACAAGTTTAAACTCAGGCATCCTGCCGGTGGCACTGCAGCCACCACAAGTCTGTAGGAGCCAGGGGTCTGGACAGGCTCTCACTGATAGCCGCACGGGCAGAATCCCCGGCCGATCTGGAAACCTGGTTCTGAAGAGATGCTTCTCCATAATTAAAACCAATTATCAGGAGCACAGATGCTTGGGAGATTTATTTTACACAGTGGCAATCTACTGCAGCATTGTGTAAAACATCACGGAAAACAAACACGGAGTTCTTGGCAATAGTTTCGAGCTGGGCAAATTCACTTCAGCACGACAAAACCACAGCATAACCACTCAGCAAAAATAAATACCCCCAGTCCTCCCTCCCTCCCCTTCCTGCCCCACCAAGGACTGAGTCATGCACTGCTAGTATCTCCCGCTTCCGTTTTTTTTTAATTTTATTTCTGTCTCTCACTGAGAAAGGTAAATCTTCTTGTCTGCTATTACACTGGAGTGATATATAACAGCTAGAGAAATGGCCCATAGGCAAGAAAAGCCGAGAGTAGCTAAACATCCCTTTTGCTCTTCTTCTTAAACACCATTTTTAACTCGCCCATACCTAATTCCATGAGATTACCTTCATGCAGCAAAGTTGGGTGGAATTCTTGTAACGTGCACATTATTAAAAAGGTCCACTTGAGGAACGGAACAGGTTTGGGACTGAATGGAAAAGCATGTTACAAATGAGGCCAGGGCAATGATTGTAGAGAGTTGAACCAGCCTCCTAGGGAAGATATCCTAATCAAAAAAGTACATGTGCATTTGAAACGTAGCAAAGCAGGAATTAACACTGCAGGGCTCTAATTTAATTTTGTCTGTGGGGGAGACCTTTCCTGCAGCATTGGATAGTGTCAAAATTGGTGAGGAGGAGTCAAATTTGCAGAGGAGGAAGAGTTTTATTTCTATGTTTCTTTTGGCTACCAATCTAATTAATGGCAACAGTTAATTGGATTGGTAGCCGAAAGGAACTGAAATAAAATCCCCAACTCTAAACTTCTGCAACCAATTTGTATTTCTTTCTTCTCTCTTCCATTTGGGGCTCTGTGCAAGAGCGTGTACATTCCGTACTTTCAATTGTCTCTGCCCACCCACCTTGTGTGTTGACACCCTTCGTCCCATTCACGTTCCTCCTACTGAATCCCTGGTTTCCTAATGCAGCTCCATTTGATCTGGATTTGAACAAACGTTTTGGGCCTAGTCCATGTAGCTGGAATGCCTGCCACTTTCTGACAAAACCCACATTTTATTGGGAAATTATCGAATATATTTAACCCTTTGTTTTGACAGAGAGAAATGCCATGTTCCCAGACACATTTATGCTACATTTACAAGAAATAAATAGGTTCCAACTTTGACAATTAAATATGACCAAGGCTTATTTTTTAAAAAAGAAAACTTACTGATTTCCTAACATCCATATATTTTATAATGTATTTTTATCACACAGCTTCTTGTGAACTTATCACCTCTGCTTAATTTTTGTGAATGCCCGAAGACAGCCATATACATACCTTTTCTTTGGGTTTAATTAAAACAGACAAATGTCTTAACACCAAAGGTCCATCTAGACTGTAAGTGAAGTTAACATTTTCAAATGCTATCATTCCTTGGCTTGGCCATTCAGTGGGTGGGTGTTTGTTGGTCTCCCAAGGAGCCTCTTTTTCAAGTTCTGTATATTCCATTACTCTTTCAACTGATATCATCTAAGGAGAGGAAAGAAAACACATACTCAAATTTCAGCATATTGCATACATTGTAAATATTGCATGTATATATATGTGTGTGTGTGTGTGCTTATTTTTACTATAAAGATGCAATACAAAACATTGCAGAGATTTTATTTTAAGCACAGATAAGAGTGTTCGGTAGCATCCTATGCTTACTTTATACAAATGAAAAAGTGGAAAGAACGCACCTCAGATCCTACTACAGACCCAAATCTATCATGATACATAAATCCATACATACGCATTAATTTGTAATTAGTGGGACTAATTACCAGTCTAAGTACATGCGTAAGTATTAAGAAATTTAAGCTATGAGAGCTGTCTGTCAGTCTAGGCTAAAATGACACCACTTTGTTGTGTCTTCGGAAGACAAAGCTAGAAACGCAACTGGAATAAGTGCTACAGGCTGATGCACAATAGTTACTACCATCAGGTTACTGGCTTCATCATCACTTTTTTTTGTCCTTATTACCACTGCACATCCTCCCAGCAAGTCTGTTAAATATGTTTGTCACAAGCAACTCCACAATCCAAGACAGCTGTCACCATATTATTGGTGACTTACATGCAATAAAACTTTTATTCCTATGTATTTTATGCCAGATATGAAAGAAATTGCAGTATTTGCTGATGCCTCGAATCTTATGGGAAGTAAGAGAAACAGAAGTCGAGCTCTCTAGACATGTTTCTCCCCTTGGGCAAATAACGAAAATTCTGTTTAGGCTCTGGTGTGCATCCTCACCCATACATTTCTTCAGTACAATTAATTTTATTTAATGGTATCCACTCACACATGGATTCTGAAGAAAACAACCCATCATGAAGATATTCAGTAGGCCTATCTTGCCTGGAGCAGCTTTAAGGGCAGAGGTCACCAGGCAGCAAGTTCTCTGACCTTGTTGCACCTACACTTACGACATTACAAAATAAGCTCCAGGAAAACCATATAAGGAAGGTGTGCCAGAGTGGCATAGAGAGGAAACATTCTTGTCTTCCCCAGAGGTAGTTAGTCTTTAATAACAAGGGACTTCTGGTGGATGTCCACCTGTCAAAGAAGTTGATGCCAGTCATAGCTCCCTAAAATGATCAGCATTCCACAGAGGAGCTTAGTGAATGGCAAACCTTTCTCCTCCAAAGTACTTCTAATCACAGCCTCCAAGAGAGTCCCACAGACTGACACTTCCAAAAATTCCCAACCAATATGAAAAAACCTGAAAGCTTTCTCCCCATTTCTCAAAGTCTGTCACCAGTAGTTTAGTCATGTCCAAAAAATGCTCTGAAGCAGCAATGTGCTAGACAAAAATTATAAATCTGACATTATTAATTTTATCTGTTATTAAACATGGCTTTATAACGTCTACAAAAGGACTACATGTATTTCCTAGACTATGGTCAGCAAACTGTAATTACAAGTAACCTTCAGTTGTCAACACAACACAAAAAAACCCACAGGCTTATTACGCTCAGTATGTTTTCCTTGTAGTCTTTTTTCTTATATGTTAACTTAAGAAAGCAAAGAGGCAAACTAGAACATGCTAGTAAATATTGTAAATTGGTGGAAGATGGAAGGGGTTTTACTTCAAACATTCCAGAAAACATATTCTCAGCTCAGTATGAACAAATACTTTCAAATATTTGTTAACTTAAAACAAATTATGAAGATATAAGCTTTTACAATGAATTAACAGGACCCTAAAAATGCCATGAGGGATATAAATCAAGTATTAAAAAACAAAAATAAATAGTAAAATAAAAATACCAAATTAAAAGAAAATTAACAATAAAACCCTTCTAGAGAGGGATTAATCTCTTGTACTCTTAGCAATGTGATTGTCTATACTTTACTAGAGAGCCTCCTTTGTGCTGTAAAAGGAGATTATAAAGCCTCCCTTGCTATGAACGGCCTACCTTGCTGTGAATGGAGAGGGACAGTGACTGGGCACAATTCCTCTAAACAGACAGTCAAAATCTGTCAGAGAAGTTATACCCTAGAAGATGCTACTTTTCTTTATGGACTGTAAGTGATACTTCAATCGCTTGCTAAAGTATTAATGTCCTAAGATAATTAAGAAGGAACCCATCATTAAGGCCTCATGTCACAACGACGAAAAGGAACCACAAGGAGAAGAGGGAGAAACGAACGTTACCAAGTTTTCCACTTCAGCACTTTGTCTAACACCCCACTGGAATGTTCCCATGAGGGTGATTGCGTAGGACAGCGCCAAACCAACCTGCCCTGCATTCAAAGCTGCGGAACAAAGGGAAGAGAGAATCAAATAGGTACAGTGGTAATAACACAAAATCCTAGTTAAACTTCACTTTCATGAGGTTACTTACGTGACGGAAGCATCACAGCCAGAATTTTGTTTGTTTACACTGTACCTGCCATCTGTGCAACGAGTACCTCCAGGCAGAACAGCTACTTGCTGCATTTTCTCTTTTTTTTGGTATGCTTTGGAAATTGTCTGTATATTTGAAAAGATAATCCCAATTCTCCTTGGCCTGACATTTTACCTAAAAACTGAGGTTCAGTCTGAAGACCATACTTACACAGCTTGGTAGGGTTGTCCCCTATCTGGCTGAGCACTAGTAACTTTTCGCTTTTTCTAAGGGAATTAGATCAGCCCATAAACCTAAGCATAAAATGATTCCGAAATGTTACATACATTTACATTAACTTTGTACTCTTGTAAGTGACCAGATAAAATCAGAGGAAAGAATATTTTCCCCTGTTTCTATAAGCATTTATTGTGCTCAGTGGGTCTACTCTTACAAAACAAATGAATCCTGTTTGCGCCAATATTAAGCACGATTGTCCTCTGACTTACTTGAACTTTATCCTACCATAGCTCTATTGACTTCAAGAGAGCTACTCCTTATCCAGAGGCAAAGAAAGATTCAGGACCATTGTTTTGACTTGTCTTTTTTCATTTTAATAACATCAAACCTAGCTCAAAACTTTCAGTGTTGAGCAGCACAGAGTGTTCAAATTTTAACACACACATGCATATACAGAACTTACACAAAGGAAAAAGAAAAGAAACAAAACCAGCAAATTAGCACTAATTTTCATGTCCCAAGATAATTACTTCTTCCTTCATATTTTAGATGACTATCTCATTCTAGTACATCTAACCCAATTACATCCTGGATGATGAATACACTAATGACAGTTCATGAGTGACAGTGAACATAAAATGTATTATTACAAGGTGATTTTCTTCCTGGAACTGGCCTATCCTGCTGATCCAAGATATTAGAAGAGTATCCCTAGGAATTCTAGCTTGCCTTCTGGCCTACTGTGCCATGTGTAGAAAGGAAAAAAGTTGTTAAGAAGCAGCTCTGTGGGTGTTTCAGAATGAAAAGCAAAGCCCTGTAGGCCCAAAAAAGAAAGACAAAGGTGGGGAAAAAGAAAAAGATTTATTTGTTGTTATTGCTCTGAAAGCCAGGATCTCGAAAGTGAAGACTACAGATCTGCAAGTTTGTTTGCACACTTGGGGATGATGCACGCCTAAGCCCAGAAGACGTCTGAACTGCCTCCAGTATTTGCAGGAAAGCAGATACAGCCCCAGTGCCCGTGACTGAGGAAGAGATCATGATCTAGAAAAAGACACTTAACTTACAGTTCTCAAACAATTAGAAAGAGCAATCTATGAAAAAGAATTAGACATTACTATACAGGATAATTACTGGGTGAACTTTTTCTAACATCTGTACTTACTCTTGGCCAGAAGCAGGGAACCAAAAGCAACCACTATAACAAAAATGGCACAGATGGCATCCAGACGCACAGCAAACCACCTCGACGTCGTCAAAAATAGAAACCAGGCCTCTAAAGTGTATTTTACAAAGACATAATAAGAGTGGATTATTAGAAAACTAAACTGTATAATTATTATTATGAAATTAATTCGTGTCAATACTACAACTTGTTAAAAAAAGTACAAACCATTGCCATCTTCAAGGACACATCTGTGTGGACTGGTGATGATCAGAATATTGTACAGTTTTCCTGAAATCATCTAACCTAGTCTGCACACTAATAGCAACCACAGCTTGTATAGTATACAGTAATAGGAAGAAAACCAGTCAAGGCCTGAAGCATGGTCCATTTATTTTAAATGGAAGCCTTTTTTTAACTCTAGTGGACTTGGGAGCCTTACACAAAAAGCAGAACTACAACTACCTTCACTGTAGCTGGAGGACAGTCCGCAAGCTTTTAGCTAGAACATATCAACACAACTGCCAGAGCTGAGACTTTAGAAAGCAGCTGCAGCTGGTTAAGCTCTTGTAAGAGCTACTCAATCCAGCCAGTGGAGCTACAGAGCTATTCAATTGGCCAAATGCACACATCTACTTTCAAGGAGCTCACAGGTGGACATCTCCACTAGGCACTCACATCCAGGCATCCACAACTTGGTGCTAAATTCCATCCCAGATAGCAATGCTACAGTACAAGACACAGGAGACAGCAGGACAAGACATTGCAATACAGAAGACAAAGTGTTCGAATCCAGGCCCAAACCAGAAGTCAAGTAGCCATAACAAAGTATGGCATTATTTATTGCTTAGGCTGCAGTCAGTTGAATTGTTCCAGCTGCTACCAAGTCACAGCAGAAGTTTACCACCCCAACCCTTTCTGCACTGCTTCTCATTACCCCATGGTAAATATCAGTGCCGTTTTAACTGTTTCCATGTTCCTTTGCCCAGTGCTGGGAAGCATTCCAACTAAAAAAAAAAATCCTCCCTTTTATTAAAAATGAGAGGAGGTAAGTCTGGTTTTAAGTCAGTTCAGATTACGGAGTGATCAAATCAACAGTTTAGCCAACACAACTCCATGTAACTTGTGGAGGGCAGGAGAGGTAAAGAGCAAGGATGAAAAAGCAGCCAGGTAAGACCCAGAGCGGGTAACCTCTCAGTCCCTTCCCCATCAACTCTAACTCCATAAGCCTGACCAGACACTTAGCAGGTGGTTTCATTAAACAAGATATTTGATAGGGTCTGACGGACAGGCATACACCTAGGCACATGGAACGATATATGCAGAAGAGAGTGCTGCAGCGACTCACAAACCTTGTCCCAGAAATTGAATTCACCATGATAATTTAGGTACCTCTCTGAAAACCAGGAGTCAAATGTCCCTGGAAGCAATCTATGGCAGCTTCCTGGTGACACGAAAGGTTGGTTTTGGTGCAATAATGTACTTGTGAGACCAGGAAATGGGGCAGGATGGTTGGAACTAGATGATCTTTAAGGTCCTTTCCAACACCATTCTATGATTCTATGACACTTGGGTTGTAGGTTTTTCAGGCCCAAGGTTTTGCTCCATTGATCCCATTGCCCAGGATGATACACTGAACTGCCAGCTTGAGGCCGGTCATTCTGCCACCTCTGCTATGTAACTGGGATCACTGTGCACACAGGGAGGAATACGGCAATCGTGGGGACTAACAACGACTCATCACAGTGTAACTTGTGATGACGACTCAGGAGCTTGCTCAAAGAGATGTTGCACTGGCAAGAAAGAATCATAGGTTCGGCCAAACCTCAGCATGCCTTTTAGTTACTTTTTTTTAATCTAAAGATTATTTAATATCAAATTCACAGACATCCCTGAAAGGGGGTTCGAAATGAGTGTTCCATTTCCCAGGCTCAGCCCTAAATAGAGATGAGGAGACCACTCCAGCCAAAAGCACTAAACGGAACCATTGCTGATTTGGAGATGCTTTCTGTGATGCAGGAAAGAATTTAAAACTCTTTGGGAGACTTAAGAACCCAGGACTCCAACTCTGTGAGCTAGTATGAAAGGTGTTCTCTTCTACCGGCTGTTGCTTGCACACATTCAGTATCAAAGAATCGCTCAGGGTGGAAGCAATCTCAGGGGGTCTCCAGTTCAAACTCCTGCTCAAAGCAGGGTCAGGTCTGAGGTCAGATTACATTGATCCGTGCTTTATGCAGTTCAAGTCTTGAAAACTGACATGGATGGAGCCTGCACAGCATCTCTGGGCAACCTGCTCCTCTACTTGACTGTCCTCATCGTGAAAAGTTCTTCCTTGTATCCAGATTAAACCCCTTGTTACACCCATTTTCTTGCTCGCCCCATGACGTACCACTGTGAAGAGCCCGACTATCTTTTTGGTGACATCCTTGCAGGTACTGGAAAGCAGTATACCCGTAAGAAGTACAGAAACCCCTGTAAGCCGCCTCTTCTGCAAAGTGACCAAACCCCGTTTCCTCAGCCTCTCCTCACAGGGAGATCTCTCTTGTTAATCCCCTGAGCATCTTAGTGGCCCCTCTGCTGAGCTCAGTCCAGTTTGTTACTATTTCCTATATCTGGGGGTCCAAAACTAGATGCAGTATCCCAGATGTGGGCTAACAAGTTCTGAGGGGTATAATCACTTCCCTCCTTCCACTGGCTGTGCTCCTGCTAACACAGCCCAGGTGTTGTTGGCCACCTCTGCTGCCCAGGCACACTGCTGGCTCATATACCCTCGGAGGACCAAAACCACACACGCACCAGGCAAGCTGGTATACCCCAAATACTCTGGTAGGAAAGGCACCAAGGTAAAGCGCGTAGGTACACAAGAGCGTGCGACTACACACTGAAGCTTAATCTCAAAACGGGTTCCTGAACTGCCCAGGAGGGGTGTTACTGACAGTTTTGTTAGAAATACCCATAAAATCGACTGGAACACAGTATGTTTATGCTCCTTAGGTCTGACCTTAAAATACATGAAAATACTTATTTTAAAAGGTCACGATCCTCTTTATACAGTGAAACCTTTTACGTGCAGTTTATTGATTGAAGATGTCTGTCAATACAAAGTTTAAAAAACAGCTTGGTGTTCCCTTGCTATCAGCTACTGTAAAATGGATTTGGTCAGATAATCAGCAACTTGAAAATGTTACGAAATGGGGAATTTAACGCTAGAGGCGCCTCCCTGGAAGATAACGTTTCCCCGGTCACAAGTTACAGGGCTCAACGTAGAGACCAGTGTGCACGATTCTACAGCCTGTGATAAACTGTACTTCAGAAAAGATCAGCTGGTCTGGCCTGAAGCCTTAGAAGTCTATAAATCACAAAAAAGCCATAGAGAATGTCTTTAGACAGAGGAAAGTCAAGATCTTACCTAACACACACTAAATGGCAAACTTACATTCTGCTGCATCTTGCAAAACACTGGAACACAGAACATTTCATTGACAGAAGGTAAGAATCACAGAGCAAACCTGAATTATATTACTTATGCTTGCAGAATAGTAATATTTTACACCTTCTGGTCATGTTAATACCATATATTAGATTTGGGCCCTGAAAGCTGCTCAACATAAAATAAGAAGTGAGATTTATGACACTTTTCCAAGATGAGTTATATTAAACATCTCTGCTCATGCCTAGCACACTACTTAGTATGAAGTAGTTTATAGTATAGCTTGTTTCCCCGCCTCTTTTTAAAGATGGAATCCAGGAAAATGTCAAAAATTATTCTTTAAATATTCTTATCAGGCTTTAAAACTTTAAAATGTTTATCTTAGACATTATGAAAAGATGCGTGGGTATCTCAAATTATATTACAGCCCAAAGTAAACTCTCAAAATCTAGACAGATAATAACGCTTTTGTTCTAATAGAGAAATTCTACCCTAAAGAGACAAACGCACACCTCCTACTGATTTTAATATACATTATACACACGTTGCTGACGGCATAACATATTTCTCTCCCACAGAGCAAAGTATTTGATTTTTCACGTCAATTCATCACAAACCTGAGTGAAGATCTTGGTGTGCATCAAATAATTTTTGAAATCTTTCCTCTGCTTTCAAAGCCCGAATAGTCCAAAGTCCCTGGAGGGATGACGACAAGTGGGAGAACACTGGACTTCGAGCTACAAAGGGAAATGAGAGTAACTTAGCAGTAGCTGAAGGACAACATTTAATTCTTTTTGTACCACACTGATCTTTAATCCTACGACATTATATTTAATGATACAATTTACTGTGCTGCATCCTTTTAGCATAAATATGCAATATCTTTCACCAAAGTCCTCTTACTCAATTAGAGTAAGTCAGACACCCAGGAAGATTAATTTATACAAAAATGCATTACGTTTTTAACAATAGCTGTCACAGAATAAATTATTTAGGCATTATTAATGACATGAGGCACCCATGTTTGTTATTCATAATGCTTAATATTTCATATCGTAGTCATGCTAAAGTCAGGCACAAAAGTCAGATTAGATCAGAAACATCGTTAGTATGTGCATGCAAGGTCCCAAAGACCAGCAACTTAGCATGTTCTTAACCAGCTTTACTTACAGATATTTAAACTGACATACCTAAAGTTTATCGTTATGCAAAACAGGAGTTAAGCATGTAATTCGCTAGTTGAGAGCCAAGGCAATAAGGAAGTTATTTCCATAGCAAAAGAAAAGAATCTTTGCTAGATTGCCTACAAAACACTAGCATTTCACATAATAATAAGCAGGATTCAAACTAGCACTAAGTCCCGCCAAGCTACATACTTGTGGACTCCAGACGTTTAATATCTCTTGAAGTGTCTAAGAAATAGCGTCGAAGAAAAATGAAAAGAATAAATAGTGGAATTAAGGGGATGAGTATCCAAGGAATCACTGCCACAGCCACCGCCACCACACCAAAAATCTGTAGGAGAGTCTGCAAGACAATAGAAACAAAATTAAAAAAAAAAAGCAAAACCAACTCCTTGCCAGAAGAATTTTAGAACAACTATAAAACTATTCAGCACTATTGAAACACTTGAATATTTAAACATAACTACCAGATTTAAAAGTGGATGCATTGTATAACATGAGCAACATCTATTTTTAAGCAACTTGAAGAATGTACAGCAATACCTAATTTGACTCAATGTGCAGTTTATGGTTTTCTTCTCCATTATTTGTTCTCTTAGAAATGTCTTTAAAAAACTAGTTGACTGAACATTAGTGTCTTTCTTTGTGGACTATTCTATGGCTGCCATGACAAAGAAATAGATGATTAATGAAACGCACAACTAATCTTTAATGGACTCAAGCTACGTGGTGAATCAGGGATATGGTTTTTTTTCACTCCAGGTAAAAAGAAATTGTTGAGACTGACTTCCAGTTGAAAGAGAGACTTTCAACACAGGATTCTAACTTTTTCCTAAAAACAACTTTGTCCCATTTAGAAAGAAAACCTACTATCAGAGAAAGTGAGCTTTCTCCTCCCAAAGGATTGAATTGGGAAGCATTAGAAATAAGAAGAAAATGTTAAACAGTGCAAGAACTGTCATAAGAGGCTAGTTTTACCAGGTTTGCTTCAGAGCATGAGATGAACGGGCTGGGCTAAGCCTAAATTTACTCTTGGGAAACAAGATACAATGTGGAATGAAGCTTTGTTGCTTATGACAGTGGATCCTGGCTCAACTGTTTGAATTAAATCTCCCATGTCCTGCAGACTACATCCTTCACAGCAAACTTTCTGTTTGAATACACTGTGAAAAACATTATCTGCACACAAGTTTTTTTCAGAACACTAAATGTCTACGTACACATGTATGGCAGGAACCCTGGAATACTGAAATCAGGGTGTACGCATTTGTTCTTTCAAAAAGAGGGGGAAAATGCCCCAAATACACAAAAAGAAATCTCCCCTGTACAAAAACCAGACAACTGAAGTTCTAGCTCAAAACTAAACTCCTGTATTACTTTCATTAGCAAATTCCTTAGAAATGACAATGTTTTAGAAAAGGTTTTCATTTTATAGACTGTAGGGAAGCCATCACACACAATTCCAGCTGCATTTCATCACTAATGCCAAAAATGCACTAGTGACCACTGTGTCCCGAGAACACGTGTCTTACAGCAAAACGGCTTCCGTCCCTTTATCTGCACATCAAGTTGGAAAAGTTAAGCAACACGTCAGTTAAGGTCGGATAGCTGAGAGCTACCTGGATTTTCACACACTTCCAATGGAAGTGCCTATGAAACCTTGCATTTCCTGTTGTGCTGCTGGTAGCCCACACACACACGCTCTAAAGCCAAAATTGAGCACAACCTTCCCCTCTACATCTGTTTGTGTGTGGGTTGTTTTTTTTTCTTGAGGCTTCTCTGACTTTACCCTAATTTCACCTGACCAAACAGCAAACCCACACACCTTAGGACTGCATGAGTCAGCATAATTTTATCTTCGGCTCTAGGCAAGATCTTAGCTCATGATAGAAGATTTATCAGTGTAACAGCCATGCACCTCTCAGATCCTGAAAGCCCATTATAGGGTCTCATAAATCTATTAGGAAAAATAGCTATAGGGTAGGTATGGGGTAGGAGCTCTGAAGAAAGCTGCATTACCACTACACTGCTCATCTGTGGGTTGAGGTGTTGACGGCATCATGTTATTTGACCTTCTAGATAGTGGATTGCAAACATCTTACCTAGATTTCATCACGAGGAGGTAAGGTGGCAGCGAGAGTGCACGGTATTTCCCTGGGATCAATTACACACATGGTTATGTCAGCACAAAGCAAACCAAAGCGCCCTGACTCCTCACCAGTGCTGCCGTCAGCCCTTCTCTACCTTCTACTTCTCTGGCGTTCTTTAAAACCCTGTAAGCATATTTAATTTTTATTGTGGGATGAGGAGAAACGATATAAAGATTCCTGACCTCCTCCAAATTTTCTCCTCTGTAGATCACTGTTTCGTCAGTAGTGCTCGTTGCCTCTGCCAAGCCTGTCAGCCATCCAGACGCTAGCCAGTTTCTAAAGGCTCCCTCACCTCCATCCTCATTGGTAAATGGAGATGGAAGTTTGTTCCTTCCTTCTGACAATTCACTCCCAACCCTGTTTCATACGCCTGCTGCCTTCCCCACCTCCCTCCCTCACTTCCTAGACAGTCACAAAAAAGCAGTTTCTGAAGGACTTCTGTCTCCTCGTACCATCAGACGTAAACCTGAAGTGAAGCATTGAGGGAAGCTGCTTCAAGGAAACTAATTCCCAGAAAACAAACGCTTCTTAATAATAATAAAGAAGTTAAAACTGAAGTCTTAACGATGATAATCTACACTATGTTGCAAAGTGCCGATGGGGGTGGGAGTGGGAGTAGAACTATTAGGATTCAGCTCATGTAAACAAAGCCTTGCTACGGCAAAAATACAGGGAAGGAAAAGATAGTTAGGATGACTAAAGTAAAAATCTGACACCGCCTTTGGAAGGAATTTTAGATGAGCCTGCACCACCTTATCATTATAAAAATTTATGATAGGGTGGATCAGTCATGTGTGTTGTTTTTTTGGAAAACCAAACTTGCATATAAATTAACTCTTAATGAAGCAGTCTGAAAGCCAGACACAACCATTTGTAGACTTGTAATCATGTAGTTACTGCGTGAGGTAAGGCAAAGGCTCTAGCTCCCGAGTTTCACAAGAGACAACTAACCTCTTCAGCTGCGGACTGCCCCCACTTCTAGCAGATTCACTGCGTGCAAGCTGGCAGACCCGAGATAATCCGCAGGCTGACGATAAGGATAATACGGGTAGTCTGACTGCTCCCCTCTCTGGAGACAAGCAGTGAGCTAGGTGTTCAGTTAGCACAGCATGAAAGGCTCAGGACTGGGTATCTAGATCTTGTCTAGCAGAATCAGCATACAATGGAAAATTGCATCCAAAGGCTAAGCAGGCAAGATTTCATGTCTATAAAGCCAGCAACTTTCACTGTATTTCTTAATCTTAGCATTTAAAAGTCTTCTGTAATGACTGTGCAGAAAACAACAGCCAAATTAAAGAAAAATAAGAGCTGATTAATTACATGTTATAGCTACCTGCACAGAGCTGGAAACAAGGCCACCTTACACAAAAGGCAACAGATGCACAGGCTACCAAGACTGAAAAGACCTGGATGAAGAAATCTAATTTGCTTCCAAATGGAGCCACATTGTCCAATGTCCACCTTCAAAATTTGCTTTAGTTTCCCCTGGAGAAAAGTACAAAAAAGGACGTGCTGTTTCTGTTGGAGTCATCCTGCAAGAGTCCTGAGAGATTTCCCTCACGCTTTGATCAGCCACTCCATTCACTGTGGGTTATTTTTCCTCAAGACATCTCCTCTCTTACTGGAGCAAGCATACCCTCCTATAACCCTCTGGGAAGTAAAAGCCCTGATCAGCACATTCCGTTGCGAAATGTGCTTTCCCTTCATCTTCTGATGACCTACATATTTGTAATTCTTATGGATGCTGAGCGTGATAACCTGGAGTTTCTATCTCAAACAGGTCTTGATCTAGGAAGACCGAGGTATTTCTGTACCACATCCACACAACAGAAAAACAATTAAGGTAAAGAAACAATAAGGAAAAACCCATAAAAATCTGGAAAAACATGGGAATTACAAACTATAAGCCTTTTCTTTGTTTCAGAAACTATACCATTTATATAATGTTAGAGATATTACAACAATTTGTAGGCCATTTGAAGTCATTTAATAAAGTTCACAGGGCAAAAACGCAAAAGCAAAATTTAAGAGTTCGAGATGTCTCATAAGAATGTCGAGCCTTCCATCCTATGGATCACTGACCTTCCGTATCAGTTATACCCTGAGCTCAACATTTCGTGTTTGGCTTAAATACTACTTTGTAAAGGGCACCTGGCCTTCATGTAGCACACCATTTGTATCCCCCAGGTCTGCCAGCACTTTGCTCCAGTTGTACTTACAGTCCTTTACCTTCTCATCAAAGTACCTATAAAGCACCTCTCTGTCTTCTCTCTAATGAGCTCAACAGTTGGATCTTTGAGGTCTTTTATTTTCTTCCCTAATTCACATGAAGCTTTGCGCTTCTGCTTTGTTTTTCAGTGGACCTTACAAGCTGTTCTACCAACGCGTATAAAATACATGCAGAAGGGGTACCATGCAGCTGTGTGTCCATGTAAGCTCCTAGCGTCATTTGTGATGCCACGTCATCCACACGGGTTTGGCAGCTATGATACAGGCCCTACTACCACAGGAACCACACTGTTCTGCACTTGCAGCTGGTGGCCTGGTAGGAGCTCTAATGAACGAGTGGAGCAAAAGGGATGGGATCTGAGACTCAAACCTGAATGTAGAGTCTACACGTGAACTAGAAACTCCTGTCCCAGTTTTGAAAGTGATACATCTAACTTTGACGTGGATACCTAGTGATCCTATGGTTGAACCTAGAGTCCACTAACTGTATTGACTAGATGCCCCCTGACTACAGCAAAGGAAGCATCTAAAGCCCAACAAGCAGATACCTAAATTTTGATGACTGAATCCGCAGTCAAACCCCACCCAAGAACTGCAGTGCTCCAGGTCTGCTTTTATCAATATTTAAGCAAAAGTCAAACACACCTAACCTGCCTCTGCCCACAACTCCTACCTGCTGGACCCCAATATGCATTCCCAAGGATTACGTTAAACGATGGACACTGCCACGAAGCCATACTAATTTAATAGCTGCAACGGTGCATATCCTGGATTTGAAGTTTGCAACCTTAACTGCATTAACTCAGGGCACTCGCAGTCAGGCTGTGCTGTCTGAAGTAAAGCCAGGTCAAGAAACGACAAAACCCCACTCTGTTCGTACTTGCTTGGCATCACCCTTCCTCCTCCTCCCCTCCCCCTGACTAAAATTATTTCCTCGTTGGCTCTGCCAAATAACTGCACGCCC